AACCCAGGTTTCTCATTTCCTTTCCCTCAACCCTTTCCTCCCTTCAAGGCAGTCTCCTCAAGCCACTTCCTGGTAAGACTGCAGCCTGCCCACTTCCCTCTTTCCGAATTGCAGTGAGCATCCCCACCTCAGCCAAAGCTTTCCAGTGCCAGGATCCATCCAACTGGGTTCTCCTCCTTGCATGAGCTCCCAAGGGAGTCCTCTAGAGCCTTTCTGCCCAGCATCCCTGGGAGGGGCAGTATCAGCACCACCCAGAGCTGGTGAGAAATGCAGCCTTTGAGGACTGCGTCAGACCCACTGCATCAGATTCACACCGTATCAAGTCCTGGACCCCTGGTGAGCACACGGAAGCTTGGGAGTCCTGGGGCAGGACACATTCACACTAACTCTGCACTAGGAACACTCTTGGGAGGATCCGCTGCCATCCTTGGCCTGGAAATGATGGACACACTCACATATCTGCATGTGGGAGGTCCTGCCCTCATTTTATTTGAGAAACTAAAACATGCACGCTCTGTGTTATAGTCTGAATTTTAAATGACCTTTTCCCACCCTCAAAACTCACAGATGGAAGGCCTGGGTCCCCAGCTGAGGAAGTCAAGTGATTCTGGACTGAACCCTCTAAAACCTTTAACCAAAATAAGTCTTTTCTCCTTTAAATTGATTTCTCTCAGCTATTTTGTCGCAGTGATGGAAAGCTGACTAATACACCTGACACCGAATAATTAGCAGAGAGCCATGATCAAGCGCTGAGGGCCCCTCGTCCCCCAGAGCACTGCGCCTGCATAGACGTGTGGATCCTGAAACAGGTGCAGTAGGTAACCCATGGCAGTGCACCCTGTACTGAGAAACCACCCATAGTCTCAGTGTCTTTGAAAGCAAGTCCAGTGTTGGAGCCCAGCCCACTGAGCGCTTAGGACAGATGACATGGCAGAAATACACAGGGGAGACACCGGGCTGGGCTGCAGGTGAGCCTAAGAGCATGCTGGGCACCCAGCCTGGACCTCTGTCTGTTCACAGGGAGGAGGGAATTTCTTTTCTTCATGCCCACAGAGAGGGGAGGCCAAGGGGGAGGGCAGTCACCACAAGACTGGGCCCGGAATCCCAGGAAGAACTTTGCTAGAAAGGGTGGGGAATGTTGCCTTAAAGTCAATACGATAAGTAAGAACGACAAAATATTTTTGAAAAGATTAACACCCAGTCTAAGAGTCCAAGTACTCCTGAATGCCCCGCCAAGGCAGGGGTTCAAAGCCACCTGGCAAGGACAGGAGCACCATGTCTGGGGCCCATTCCTATGTCGAGCAGCCAAGCTGTCACTTACTCAGGATGCTCCAGGGGCCAGAGAGAAGGGGAGTCCAGCTGGAGTTAACTGATGCCACCCTCCCTAGTGTTTTCCTCAAAGACTTTGCTTTGAGTTTGCAAATATGAAAACACGAGGTGTGTACCTCCATTTTTCTGGTCTGTAAGCCCTGAGGCATATGAGACAAACAATGTGAGGAAGCAATATCAGCATTTACATTTACAGTCAAGCAGTCCATGGCAACATAAGCATGGGAAGAGCCATTCAGAAGAAGTGAAGTAAAATGCACGAAAGTGCCAGATCATGAAGGGTCGCTCCCCACGCAAGTGCGGCATCCAGGGCCCACGGGGGCTCCCACACAGGCCCTGTGGGGACAGTCCCCACGTCTCTGCTCACATTCCCCTGGTTTCTTGATTCCCTGAAATAGAAAATTCTAACGAGATTGATTTTACTACAGGTTGAGTATCTTTATTTAAAGTGCTTGGGACCAAAAGTGTTTCAGATCTGTTTTGTTTCTGTTCTGGATTTTAAATATGGGCAAACACATGAGCTATTTGGGGGATAGGACCAAAGTTTGAACACAAAATTTATTTCTCATATACAATAACGTGAGGTGATAACTGAGGTGCAGTGCACCCCAGTTCCAACTGCAACCCAACCCATGAGGCCGGGGTGAAACTTCCTAGGTGTGGCATGGTTAGGGATGTGCAGCCTGTACTCTATGCACCTTGGCAGAATATAAGGAAAAGGAGGAAATTATAATGGTATTTTGACATCTTAGTACATTGTATCCTCCGGAATTGTATTAGCATTCTAGGCCACGTTCTGCTACTCAAGTCTTATTAAAGAGGCACTCCACCCAGCTAAGTTTCTTTTTATCTACAGCTAGAAAATGATAAACTCCTTGAAGCTATCTTAACTTCACCCTTTATACATAAAACAATAATTTGATAAAATCCACACTTGCTATAATTACTTTAAAAATATGCAAACACACACCCATTGGTCATTTAATCCTTATTTACCCTCAGGACATTCAAGTCACTGGCATAATAACTTTAGAGACAAATCAGATCTTATTAATGCTTTCCAAGGACTTAAAAAAGTTTAATGAATATTTTGTGAAATACCACTATCAGGAAGAAAACACACAGAGAAGCATTTCACTGCTGAGTTCCTGAGAAAGGTTTTTGACTTATTTAGTGTCAAAAAATTCTGTTGGTTTTGATTCTTCCAGAAAATAAAACTGCCTGAGGAAACTGTCAAAAGGCTTTAATATGGACAGTGAGTTGTGGGTATGTTAATAGCTACAATGCAAAGAAGAAACTACCCAGAAACTATTACATACAAGCGTTTTGTTGGGTATTGACAGGATGCAGGAGTACCTGGCCGGCCATTCGCTGGCAGTTTTTAGGGGAGACCTACCCAGAAAAGGCTTGGCTGTGTGGGGAAGTAAAGCCACCCCTCAGGGTCTGATGGTTCAGGCTGGATTTTGAAAGCATGGGGAGGATTTTGTGACTGAATGTGATACTAAGCACTGATGGACTTAAAAACAAAGTGAGATTCTGTTTTGCTCTAGAATTATTAGAAACTACAAGGAAGAGGAAGAAAAGTAAGACAGGCTTCATCCACATGCTAAGATGAAAGAAAGAAAGACAAGATGGAAGGACCAAGAGTTCAAAAAAAGAGACGAGGAGGTGTCAAAGAAGGTTGTAGAGAAAAGGGAAGAACCAGAGCGTACCTTGGAGCAGGGAAGATTGGGAAATGTGGCGAGGAGAAGCCACACGGTGGGCAGGAGGACCAGAGTGAGTAAGGCCACAGGAGGGGCAGGGCCTGGAGGTGCACGGAGCATGACAGGCTCAGCGAATGGGTCCACTAGAATCAATGTTGTGCTCTCTGGAGGCAAACATCACCGAGACCCTGCTGTGCACTCCGCCCACATGCAGGGTCATCATCTCCTTCTTCATGGCCCTACGCAGACTCGGTAAGTACAAGCCAAAACGCTGCCACAACAAAAGCCATAGCCAAGAAGTACGATCAACAGGACCACTGTCCCTGCATTTAGGGTCCTGCAGAGTCATCTGTCCCCTTCCCGAAGCAGCCACATTCCTAGACTTGGCAGCCAAGAGCTGGGAGACGTAGGGGAGACAGCGCAACCCCAAACCAACAGGCTCCCCTTCCTCACTCTGAGCAGGACCTGCGCGTTCTTACCGGTACACAAGGTATTCAGGTGTTAATAGCGCAGAGAAGAGGGCCCTCGGTGATGCTAACTTACCTTCAGTTTACCTCCAGGAAAGTCTTACCTTCATTGGCTTGAATCTTAATTGAAATAAATGATTCAAGATGGCGGGCCAACAAGCCCCAGGAGTGAGAAGGCTAAGAATACCTGTAGGTCTGCCTATTTGTTTTGCTAGTGAACATCCGGCAGTACTCAGATAACAGTTAAGTGATCGTTTTCCCTTTGTGCGGGCAGGAGTGTAATGATGAAGCCCTTCCCACACAGGAAATGCTGTTCTCACCAGCACGCCTGCCACCAGATGCTTTCAAAGGAGCATTAAGGTGTGTCCTTCATGGATTAAGACGACAGAGATAGTGTTACTATTTAATCATCTGGCCACCATAGCACACCACACCAACTTCAGCAGGAAAAGTGTGTGCACGCGCGCGCGTTAAATTACTTCTGACTGAAGACTAAAGCTTGCAGGTTTGGGACTGCATGACAATTAAGTAGTAATGAAAGAGAACATTAATCCTACTATTCACTATGTATTGCTATTCACTCTCCCGGGAATGCTGACTTTTTAAGGTAATTTTCATTTCTCATCCCACAGGATGGGACACAGGTAGAGAAGAAAGAAGATGGGCAGGTATGGAGTGTGACAATGGGTGCCAGAGAAGTCCCTGATGAGAACTGGCATTCATCACGCATAGAGAAAATCCCGGGTGGACTGAATGAAGGGGTGTAGTCGTTTCTTAAGGTTCAGCATATACAAAGCATTTTCTGAAAAAAAAAAAATCTGCATTCTCAACGAACCTCAAATTCTTGCGGTAAGCAGAGCTGGGGTGCAGTTTACGGATCCTCTTCAGAGCTGAGGACCAGGGTTCACTGAGCAATTAGCAGTACATCCAGACCCTCCAGGGAGGTATTTGAGAGCAAGTTTTTTAAGTACTTTAGAAGCATTTATATATACCTAGCATGCCATTAATCATTCTTATCTGTTCATTAAAGCAGTCTCCCTTAGGGCCCTGTCTTGCCGGTTCTCTTCTCAGCCTGGTTTTTATCTGTATACCTAAAAAGTCATCCACTTCCGTTAAAACATATTTTATAATTAAAATGTTTCATTACTTAGCATGGATGTATTTCACCCAGTTAGTCTGTATTTCCTCTGTCTTATTGAGTATACAGAGTGGCCATTCTTTTGAGAGTCTTGTGAAAGACTAAGTGTGCCATTGGAGCGTGGTTTGGGAATGCGTTTTCAGCATTTGAGAGACTCTGCAGCCATTAGTCACATCACGATACAGACCCTCCTGTCCATAGCAATACATGTTGCCTCCTTTTGTGCCCTTCCACAAAAGAAGTACAATTTTAATTCACACACTGGTCTAATGGATCTGAACTAAAAGTGGAAGAGAAATCAGATACTGTACCATCGAAAAGCAATCAGTTTGAAAGGTCATGTCAGCAGTTATTTGACCATACCTCTGCTTGCGACTCCCCGCTACTGACATTCAGGCCTCTGCTGGTTCCTGGGTCCATCCATCCCAGTGCAGCGGGCAGGGAGACCCCAAGCACTGTGAGATGCAGCCAGAAGCCTCCTGGTTTCATTTTGTTGAGTCTGTTGAGAAAATGACAAACGCTTAGCACTCCACATTGTAAAGTGCATAGCACATCACAATGAATTAACACGTGTTCAGAATTGGGTTAACCTGGGTTTAAAATCCAGCACCAACGCCACCATCATACTCTGGAGAAGTTACATGACTTTGGAGCCTTAGTTTACTCATCCCTAAAAGGAAGGCAATACGAGGTACCTCACAGGGTTGCTGTGAGAACTGAGGGAGTTGGTGTCAGGCATAAAGCAAGAGCTCTATCAATGTGGAGTTACGTACGGTCCCACGTGAAGTGCCACCTGCCACTGCACCTACAAGAAGCAGGGGAGGCCAGCTGGGTCACCTCTATGAGGCATGCCCGTGCTTGAGTCCCTGAGATAATGTTCAGGGCTGTGCACACTGTTAGTGGTCAAGAAATGCTGAGGAATTATGTTAAACCTGTGACAACTGGTTTGTGGCTTATCTTCCAGTTGAAAGACGGTGAGCTTAAAAATGGCATCATAAAATCTGATATTTTATTTTCAGAGATTTTTGTAGCAGAATCCAAGCATCCAATGACAATGGAATTTCGAGTAACTTTAAGGTGTTTCCTTAAACTCACTTGATAAAATTATTGTCTAAGTTCCCCCCAAAAAAGAAATAGGCCATTCAAAGTCATCAAAGAATTATATGGATAAAAAACTAATGTTGACTGCAACAAATGTTTACATGCTTACCATGAAGACACAGACTATTCTACTTTTACTGCAGATCACACCCAGGGCCTTGTTCATGCTAGGCAAGCACTCTACCACGAAGCTACATCCCAGCCCTAAGTGGACTTTTTAAACAAAAGATTCCCACTGTGGACATATTCCAGCCCTAATTGTATCTCTGTGTAGGAGGCAGAGCCACATAGAGCTCATCACGCAGTACCGACTCTTCCTCCGGGAAACTGTAGGGCTACTGACTTCTGCATACACCACACAATTTAGTGCTTCATTACAGGTGGTCCACACTGCTTCCAGATCCTGGCTGGGGATACGAAAACACACAGGGCTCCTTGGAGGCAAGCAACCAGTGCCACCTGGCCCAGGGCTGGCCCAGAACAGGCGTCCAACTCAAAAACAACCTGGTAGTTGAGGGACTTAGCAGCTTGAGCAGTACACCCCTGCTCACGTCCATAGGCAACAACATTTCAGAACCCCCCATTCTAGCGAGAGTAGAGACTGTTATCAAGCACTCCTGCCACGTTCCAGGTTTCCCTCGGCTGCCTCTTCCCCTTCGCTTTAGGTTCCAGCTTGAGACACAATGCCCATAGCGAGAAGTCAGACCAAAAGGTGTGGGAATACAGCAGGAGCTTTTGAAAAGGCAAGGTTATAAGGAACGGCCATCTTTTAGGAGAAGGTGTCTCTTTGTTTGAGAGACTCTGGAGGGCCATGCTCCTACATCTATTTCTTCAGCTTTCACATCCATGAGCAAAGCTGAGCTACGGCGGGGAGCAGTCCAGGTGGCCAGGAAATGTAACCTGAAGGTCACAGTCTCAGTGCTGGCTCTGCACCCCAAAGATGGCAGAGTGGGGAGGCACTGTGGAGCTTCGGCTGCCACCAGGTGAGGACTGCAGCACTGACAGCAGCCAGCCTACTCTGCACCCCAGATCCAGGGCTCTTGCTAGGGTGGGTGAGTCCTTACAGGGACAAGGAATAAGGTACCCAAAAAATCACATTTGGGACTGAACAAGAATAAAACCATCTTTCCCAGATTGCAACGGTTTTTTCTAAAAATAACTAGGGCAACTCCCTCTTCCCCATAAATTATCCTCTTCTGAACACACAGCCACTTTCCAGAGACTACAGAAAGCGGCTAATGGGTTTTTGGAATTTTTAAAAGCCAGCCACAGTAATTCAAGACTGAACTAGAAAGACATGGCTTCCTACTGCTATATGAATCTTTCCCTACTTATCTAGAACCAAATATCGCTCGTGGGATAAGCACACGTATTAAAGGTCTGTGTTCTTCCTTTTTCATGCCTCCTGGACCAAATAAACCAAAAACAGTAAGATAATCAAAATTCATTCTTGTTAATGTACAGGCATCAATTCCTAGAGTTATGAAAAACACACGTCACCAAATGTAGCCTTTCATTTTCAATCTGACTAGCAATCTAAGACCAATTACATCTTGTGTTTTATTATTCACAGATGGCACTAAAATAAGATCCTTTCATTTCAAATGTATTTTGGCAAGCACCAAATCACTCCAGTTAAGAGGCACCTCCAGAGTGCTGGCTTGTGGTTGAGCTCCAGCCCTACCATTCCTGGAGTTGCAACTGGCTTTATATGGTTTTCATTAGTTATTTGAGTCAAGCTGGTGGCACACACCTGTAACGCCAATACTGTAGGAGACGGAGGCAGGAGGATCACCAGTTCAAGCCCAGCCAGGGCAACTTAGTGACTTAATGAGACCCTGTCTCAAAATTTTAAAAAATTTTTTTAAAGGACTGAGAATGCAGCTCAGGGTGAAGGTCCTAGGTTCAACCCCCAGCACTGCCCCCCCAAATTATTTGAGGACAGGAAAACATGTGAACCAGGCCAACTAATGAAATAATCCTAAACAGCTTCTTTGTAAAACTGAGTGCTATTTGCCCACCAGTAGGTCTGATTTCATTTACACAGTGTCTTAAATGTCATTTTATACTTATGGTGATTGACAATTCATTACATCTACAGCAGCAGCAGCCTAAAAATTTACAACTCAAGTTTTATGACAGTCCAGTTCGTAAAAAATATTGGATCTAAATCAATTTTGATGATCTGTCTAATAAGCAAATAGACGCTATGTGGCCAACACAAAGCAAGTACTAAGTGTCAGACACTGTCTCTAAAGGCTGTGCGTACTCAAAATCCTCATTTCTCTACTCCATGAGGAAGGCGGTAAGTAGTCCCTCATCAGGTGACAAATGACATAGGGTCACAGGCAGGTTGTGAACCCTGCCAAGGCCATGTGGCAGCAAACAAGTGGCAGAACTGAGACTCTACGCCCAGCGGGTGAACCGTTATCTATGCTCTTAACCCCCATCTCATACTCTTAACCCTGAGCAGGATTTTATCTTGGTAAATAGCTGTCTAGTATGACAGGGGAAATCCGCATAGCAAGGCCGGAGCCCCAAGTCCCTGTCCTCTGAAAGCTGCTGAGAGTCGAACCCCTGTAGCTGTAATGGCTCAAACAAAGCCAGAGATGAGGAACGAGGAGGAGGAGCTAAACTGTCACTCTCCTGCCTCCCGCCCCAGGAGACTCCCCAACACATTCTCTTCAGCCACCCCTTCGCTGCTGTGTTTATGGGTCAAGAAAAAAATACGGTCAAAAAACGTCATGAAAAATTGCACAGAACCCTAGGCAGCAAGAGTGTCCCTCAGCTCACAGGGAACACAAAGCACTTTGGGGAAGCCAATCTGCTACCAAGCTAATACTTCTCAAACTCATATCTCCCTGTTGGCTCTCAGAGGAGGAAAGAGATGAAGGTCTTCATAAGAGAACTAGGAATGTGCCATCCTGCATTCACCAACTCTTTCAACTTGGGGCTCCTTTTGAGATTAAGTTAGGTTTATAAGATTTATTCAATCCTACCTTAAGTCTTAAGCACTGACTACTAACCTACTCAGGATTCCCCACAGAGGTGGGACTACTTTCTTCCCAACAACTTGGGAAGTACAATTATTTAATAGTTAAGACATCCTCTGCCGCCAGGTACTTCACCATTTCCTCTGCGGTTTCCCACATGAGCCTCAATACTTCCCTGCGGCCGGGAGATGCAGGTGTAAGTCTGGCTGCTGCACGCAGAGGATACCAGAGGCCATAAGCCCAGGGAAGCCACCTGAGGTGTGAAGCTAAGTCTGGACTAAAACCCCAGCGGCCGGTACCTGGGCAGATGCAGCGTACGTGTGTCATCTCTGTCTAGACAGAGTTTGCTCTTTTCAGTGCTGAAGGAGCCTCACCAGGTTGTTTACCCTCTCCTTGTGAAAACCAGGAGTTTCTGGTGTTATAACATAAGCTGATATTGGCGTTATTCTTTTTCATATTTAAAATTACAGAGCTAGGACAAATAATGTAACACTGCAAATATCAACTTGTTTTGGTAAAGAGAGTTGGAAAAGCATGACACAGAAATGCAAACGTTAGGGAGATACAGGTATTAATATGAAGAGTCGCAAATCTTCCACACCCACAGAACATACAGCAGGGTGTGAGCAACAGGGTCAGAACCAGGGAGAAGCTGGGACATAGTTAGGGCCTCTCTTTTCTATGCCAGAACCAGCTCGGTTGGGAGCAGCGGGGATTCTGGCTCTCAGCGATTCGGGCACACTGTTCACCAATGTTCTCTCTCGACTTCTCTTCCAGAACTCAGTGACAGTACCAGGCCAGTCATCTGGATTAGCCACAAATAAGTGGCTCTTCTCTGTAGTCAAAAGGACTAGAAGTTACAGATGGTGTGGGGGAAAGGAGGGACACTGTCTGATATCTGCGGAGAGCAGTACGATTTGTGATCCGGTGATCCTGAGGCCTTACAGGCCTAACCCTTCTGACTGAAAAACTGCTCTCGCAAACCCCCTGAAGTGGGCTGCACTGTACACAACATGGCAGGCTGGCAATCAGAGATCAGCGGGAAGCATCCAAACCCTGCTGTCCTCTTCTGCACGTCCACCCAATGCTAAGGGGAACAGGAGAGAAGAGCACGACACAACCTGGACCCCAGACCAGAAGACTGGATGTCCATTCTTCTGAAACAATTAGGACCCTAATTTTAATTTATGGGTGTTTTAGGAAAAAAGAAAATGGTTCCGTTTCCTAAAATGCCAACCTGGGGAAAACAGTCATGAAAATATATTAGGTTAATCTTGCAGCAAGCCACAATGAAGTTACATTGCATTTGCTGTTCATTATCTACTCTGCCTTTCCCAACACTGATACATGCGAGGCATACATCATTCTATGTATAATATGGACATTCTTATTTACCACAAAGTTT